CAGTAGGCACGTAGTAGTAAATGTACAGCAGGTCCCAGTATCCCGCAGGGTTCAAACATGGAATGTATCTCCCAATGATAAATACTTGTATCACCTCTTGTTGTCAAAGTCGAGGAAGTCGAGGGTATTTCGTTCGTGGGGCTTGGGGATCTTGTCTCAGAAGCATTGTAAACTACGCTTGAAAATGTTGCTGTGGTGTCCCAATTCGACTTTCGAGCCCGAGCTGCATTACCAACTCCAAGATGGCTGGAATACCACAGGGCCGTAAGAACATTCATGAAACATCTGTTATATACTGAAATCCTGCACCTCGCTAGCGAATCAATTGTTGACAGGCCAGTTGACACCGTTCATGAGCCACAAAACCAGGACTCAATCCAAAACGTCAGTCAACTATATGCCAATACCAAACTCAGCGAATTTACCCCGGCCCTAGTGTTCAAAGAGGAATTTGGTATGGGCTCAACCACTCTCAACGTTGAACCTCTTCCATTCCCTACAGAGGACGCTCGTGGGCCACAACAGCGTTATGTTCCTCGACCCGAAAGTTCATCTAGTCGCTGTTGTCTTGATCTCGGTCATCTGCGGCATCCCTACGCTTCTCACAACGGCCTGCCGTCTTTATATCCGCCAATCTCGATACTGGGCGGACGACACCTTCGCCCTGTTTTCCGCTATAAGCCTCCTTCTTGGTGTAGCCAGCACAATGATCTATACCGCACCGACCCCAAGCAGTTCGCGTTACATGGTAGCAGCGTATTATCTGATGACTACTTCATACTATGGTGTTGTTTGGCTTGCAAGGTTAAGCATGTTGTTTTCAATCGTTAGGATGTATCCGAAGTATGGATTCGGATTTGGAACGAGCGTCGGCACGGGGAAGGTGCTATACTCTCTCTCGGGCGCATTCTTTACGGTTCTGGTGGTTCTAATTTCACAGCTCCTTTGGGTGTGCGAACGCTTGAATAGAACAACGAGTTGGAAGGAGATGTGGAGGCCGCAGTGTCCGTTGACGAAGCAGGTAGTAGTTTTGCAGCTTGTCGGTGCGTCGGGTCCTCTTAGAGTCTCAATTTTTGTCCACCCTACTGATCATTCACTCGCGCAGCCGACGTCTCATCTAATGTGATCCTCGTCCTTATCCCCATTCGCCTCATCGAAACCCTTTCATCCCGTGCCCTTCGTCGTCAATTGACATGGATATTCTCAGCAGCCATCGTTACAACGACTGTCTCCATTCCCCGTGCAGTCTTCATTACTCAAGGAATGGAACACGAGGGAGTCATCACCGGATATGTGCAAGGATGTGTCGGGCTAACCGCGTGCAACCTCCCAATCATGGCGACGAAATTGATTAGAATATGGGAAGATCGAAAGAAGAACGTCGGAGGAAGGTCGAAATGGATATCTATTCAATTTATTTCATCTTCAGGATCGGCGAGGCGGGGAGCAGAGGATACGGAGAGTGGCGCTCGAAGCGAGGCAGCGGGTTCTGCTAATGCCGTATCGAACACCAAAGCGACAACGGAGGTGAACGGCACGGCGATACCGACTGGCTGGCTCAGATGGGACCGAGATCTTCGAGACGAGGAGTTTCCCTCGCGACCTCACCCTCGGAGCACACGACCGGCCTTGACTATTGACCTCAGCCGTGAACACGGACCCTACCATGTGGAGTTGATCAGCTCGCCTTCGCGTCCGTCTGCATAAGCCAATATAAGAGTTGGGTAACGAGTACTGTAACATTCCCGGAACCGCGACAGAACCGTGACTCAGGGTCACTGTTCTAATCACGAGTGTACTAAGAGCTGTCTTGATGTTTTTTAACCGCTTTCATGCCCTATCTACCTTCTACAATATTGAGTTCAGCGTTCAGTGATAATCAACGGTGTGGTGGTTCTGGCATGTTAAGCCGGAGATTCGTGTTCTTAGGATTTTGAGCGAAGAGAGGGCCTGAAGAGGAGTAAGATGTGACTATGATGGAAATATGTATTGCATGCTAACACATTTAGCCTGTAGTTTTGAATCCTCTTTGGCTTGTTCAGTGCCACTGTCCGTGCAGGCATCTTCGGACCGCTTATTCCGGCTCTGCCCAGATTAAAGGTACGCATACGCCTCGAGCTTAATCTTATACCACCATGGCACCATCCCAAACTTTTTGGGACCTGGAAAGTTGACACAGTAATGACAAGCCCAGGTTAGACGTGAAACCCGACGATCAGTTTCTGCTACCTATATGACAATCCACTTTTGTCTTTGCCACTCTTCTGTATCTTTACGATGACATCTCTTCGCTACTCTAGCGAGACACATCGATATCTGATACTGTTGACTATATTCCGATTGCTCGGAACACTATATGAAGCTCAGGAGTTTAGTGGTACCTACAGCCTACCGAGAATTATATTCCTTCTGTAACGACACCCCAGCAAAGAAGGTTCTCCACAGCCTAAGCTGTCTTGTGTCGCTGTTATCCCTTACATGAAGTCCCGTTATGGGGTAACCGTCGTTTTGAGGGTACAATTGTGGATTATCCCGAAACGAGCGAATAGAGGGAACCTAGACTCAATCCATACCTCACCATTCTCCTCTTTCACTATAAAACTCAATCAACGTTCCTTCTCCGCTGATAGGCGCGTTCATATTTCACTCCGAGAGCAGAGTTCCGCACTTGCCATTCGCGTGGTGGCGCCAAACCACATCTTCTTACCACGATTGCCGTTCTCCCCTTTTGAAGGGCAACAAGACAACGACAAGGATAACTTAGACCAATGCAATCGCATACGGATCCCCGTGACAGGCGGCTCACAACTTCGCCGATCAACAAGGGAAAGTGTCGTTGAGCGTCAACGCCTCCATGTCAGTGAACATGAATGACATTAGATGTGGAGCTCGTGAAAATGTTCTGAGACTCCTTTCTGAGCCGATGAGAGCTCGATCAACGGAGCTCTATTCATCTTTTCACTCTTTATGAGGGACCACTAGCATTACATCTACCCCTGCAAGACGTAAATGTAGCGAAACATTCCGAGGTCAATCATCGAGGGTCCATCTGCAGGGCGGCCGTGTGAGTTATTTAACAGGCATTAACTACTTATAAGGACAGAGGTACGTCAATACGCATCGATTCCGACTCGCGACCCCTACTAGTGCTCTGAAGATGAACACGGTTTCCCCCTAGTACTATCGGTCCTTTCCAAGTCCTTTCAAACGGCGATAAACTTTTTCTGTGTGTTTAGTTGGTGAGATGACGTCTGATCTGTGTCGCCCATGTCTATAATAGTCACCCTTGTACTTATCCCGGCTCTGCGCCCCCTGAAAAGTTCAAATTCTCCACTCGTCTACCAGCCACACTCTTGCAATGGAAATATTCAACGTGGGGCAAGCTGTGTATGATTCACATTCTTACCGATTCGTGAGTACTGCGCCCATGAGTAAAGCTCATGTTTCATGTATTTTCTCGCCGGACCCTTCTATCGCTCTCTGGATGGCTATTAATTTTTCTTTGTGAGTCTTCGATGCGGTAAGAATTTTAGCGCGAAACAAAACATGCCAACAGACTGGCTTGCGATGGTCAAACAGCTAGATTTTTACTCACCGGTCTAGGAACCCATCAAAATCTCGAAACCTGGGACAACTATTTTGCGGCGTGCTTCACGCGCTGAGCAAGGTTCAAGTCGGTTTTCTTACTGCGCTTGATCTCTCGTTATTGCTTACTCACCCCTGACTCGGAGATCTTCGTCTCTGGCTTTCTCGCTAAGGTACGGGACTTCATCGGCCTTGCTCCAATACTGACGTCCTCTTAAACTCCCCAGGTTTATATCGTTTGATCCAAGTGATTCTGTACCCACTGTCTCAAAACACCAGTGTTTTAAGTCTACCTAGTTATCCAATTCGGATGGGCAGCGATCACGGTTCCTGTTTAGATTGCAAAATCAGCCAGAATCCTGGAAGACGAGACGCGCGAATACAGGTTCAAGGGTTATCCGTGAGATACCCACACCTCGTCATTTCGAAGTAAAGACCCGAACTCACAGACGGGGTTCAATACAGGTTGCTAATAGTTTTAATCTATGACCTTGTATTGAACTTGTTCTTCACTTCAATGTTCTGTTGGCCCTTGTAGAGGTCGAGGATCCAAAGCACTGCATTGAGGTTGATCGCGAGGAAGACCCTCGTGTGAGTGATTTCCATGTTGCCTTTCTAGTCGGGGGAACTAATTTATGGGCGAGGACATCAACGGGGCTACCCTTTCGAGTCTTTTCGTTCTGACTGTGAGCTTCACGTCCTGATTTCCACCAAAGTCAGCTCGTCGAGTATAGAACAGGTCAACCTTCTCGTATTGATTGAAATAGAAGGGCATCAAATTGTATAGGCCTGTATGTTGAGCTGCGTCGTGAATGTGCGTATCTCTTCCCTCCAATTGCTGCCATATCCTGGCTTTCTCATCGCCCTCGCGCCGCTTTATGCCATAGGTGACCCTCAATGGACTGGTCTCTTACTGGGCCTCCGCTGGCACACCTTCAGATTCTGTGAATGCCAACCGTAAATATGACGGAGTTGAGTTGGAAGGTAGACTCCGAGTTCGCAGAGGAGACCACCGTCACAGTCATGACACCGGTTCAAGCAGCTTTATTGATTTATGATCCCCATTTCCATGCCCATACTATTGACCTCCCGATCTCCCGAACACAGTATAATATGAATGTCGGGTGCGAATAACCCCGACGAAGATGTAGTATAGCACAGGTGATGCGTCTATCTCGGCGGAAGTACAAAGCTTTCTCCCAAACACTCATTTGGACGCGCCTTCAGCGGGTTGATTCTATACTTTTATACTCAATAAAAAGATGGGCAGTCACAAAGGAGGGGTCTTGTTTCTTTTTCAATGCGGGGGCTCATTTGAGTGTTACTTCAGTAGAGTAGTAGTCTGTGACCTTCTCTTTCGAAATTGTTCCTTTGATATATCACATGAGTAAGAAAAAGCATGGAATCCTCGGTGGTGCCGATTGGCTGGATTGAACAACCGACCTTTGCATCGTGCGGAGCCTGTCTGCCTACAAGTGCAACGCTCTACCACTAAGCTAAGTCGGCGGCAAGATAATTTGAAGGATATAAGTGTGTACCGGATTGATCTACACACTCTACTTGGTCTTCGGATGTTGTTTTTTCAGTTTCGCCTCGTTTACAGGGGGTACTTTTGTGTTAAGTTGGGTGCCTGGGCTCTGGGAGCGGGTTGAAAGTTTGAAACGTTGACTAGCACCCCCATCAAATATGGTTCTCCGGTACGACAGATGTTGAGACAAAATGAGTTTGTTTTTAGTGAACGGTGTTATTGCTAGGCCGACGTTGAATGATTTGTTTGAAGTCAAACTTTAGCAACTTTGGACAAGCCTCGCGGATCATGGAAGGGAGAATACCAGATAAGCGCTCGTTAAGCGCCTGTCTGAGAAAGTAACATTCGTGTGACTGCTTGTGACGTCCCTTTTCCTCCTCGACCATCATGAGCCCGTCAATGGTTCCCCAAGACATTGCCTCATAGGAAATAGACCGCAAAAGTAAAATGTCTTGAAAAGAGTCGTTTGGTACGCCTCTCATATCGCAGCTCATTCTCAATGCTGATTCCTGGATTCAATCAATGTTCGTTACTAGTCCGGCCAACGAAGGGGAATAGTTACAACGGTTCAAGGCAAGAGAACTCGATCGGTTATTCGAGTGGTTTTGCTCTATTGGTGTGTTATTGTGACCTGCTCCTCCTTTGGAACGTCGCCCTTACCATGCCTCCTTTCTCTTTCAGTCTGACTTCCACAGATTTCCACCAGGACTCCGACCACATATGATCCCCAAAGGCGGCCACTCAAAAGTAGCGGTACTATCCGGGTTATCTTTAGCTAGGAAGGTCAAGAAGGCGCAGGTATGATGCCAATGTCATTCGCTACACGACTCATAAGAGGTGTGTCGTCATTCGTCCTCGTCCCATAAAACCACTCAAGCTCTTTGTAGTCCTCCCATTCTGTCGACTACGTTGACTGAGGATGACTCGTGTCTATTTGAAGGCAAAGGTACACTTCTTTTGACCTCATGGTCCTTCCTCGGCTTCGCCCTCTATTATCAGCGTCTGCCTTGGTCCTCGCCTTTGCTTCTCTCGTTCTGCGTTTCGTCTTCGTGGACGATGGTCTATCACAGTGAAGAAAGTAATGGGGCAATCTATACTCGCTAATATTCATCCGTCTGCCGCCCTCTCGCCGGTCTCCTTCCCGATTTTTCCGGGTCTATGCCTCATCGGGTAATCTTGTCACGTGACATCACTGTCTTGGTCCGAGTATAAGATTGACGCTAGAAGATGAGCGCGTATGCCGTTTAGGCGCCTAAACGTTTCCTCCCTTCCGTGCTCATCTCCTCGCCTCCATCTCGTTCTCTAGCTCTTTTTTTAGCCCCACCCACCAGCACTTGGGATCACAACCACCGTCACCTGCATGGACTCAGGAGCTTTTCCCGAGTGACTCAGAACCTGGACCTGACTTCCATCGCGTTCGAAACGCGTCCTCACGTGGAATCACATATTCGCATCAGGTGGATTCCACTTGGCCCCCTTCGGGGCCCAGGCCTTCGGCGAAGCCTCTCCCTATTGACCTAACACTGTCGTGTAGATTGAGATTCAGCACTATCGTGCATCTTTACCGTTGGCACTCCTGTGCCTTCAGATACACACGTGTATACTCTTTCAGAGTCAGTCAAGACTCTGCTGCGAGTACAAGATATCGGTGAGATATCCCATCCTCCCTCATCGCAGCAGTCCATTTTATCCCGTGTAATTACGTTCACGAAGCCCTGTTTTTGATCCCCGTGTCTACCTGACGTTCCACATCGGGTTTCTCGTGGTCCTCTGGGGTGGGGTTCCAGTGGAAATTTACTAGCAAACTTGCTCTTATTGTTCTGTTCTCGTTCTCTGAGGTTACCGCTCTCTTATAGGCATCAGCGGTTCTCATCCGACTACACCGTGGCCTGTGGCAAATTGGAGCTCGGTGCATATTGTTTTGCACTCGTTCGTCTTCGTCGTTTGCAACTTGATTGTAGGATTGTCATTGTATAATTTTTTGTCTCACTATCCTCCTTGGAGCCTGGACGCATGATTTTTAGCGAGACAAAACCTCGGAAAGACCTCGACGTATGGAATTTGAGATGTAAGTAATACCCTCGCATCCTCGATTATCAACATCCAACCTCCTCTTATCTCGGTGCTGAATGGACCGGTGACTCGAGCTACCGCGACGGAGAGCACGTATCGCCTACGACGACTGCAACTACAAATGCTGCCCTGACTCCCTGCTTCCAAGATTGAGGATTCTTGCTCATGAACGAAGCTTCCCCTGTATCGAAGTACCTGATCCCGTGCTTTTGTCCTTGATCTCGAGGGGACGGTCTTCAAGCTACAACTAGCTTGGTTTTCTTGGATACTGTTGTTCAGCTTTGTGCTTGAGGTTCATAAGACCTGTAAGACGTTTTCCTTCGCAGGATCAAATCCGAAGAAGTCTAACTATCTGATGGAAGGTTTGCGACTGAATGCCTGCGTTACTCAATCTTGGGATGCCTCCTTCCTCTGTCCAGTAGTGATCGACCGTGTGACCGGACATCAGGCCGTTGCAATTGAAAGGGCCCAGATAAACTGTTCGTTGGCCGTGTTATATTTTTCGGGTCGACGACAATTCAAATCCTGCGCTTTGAAGGAATTCTAGAAGTTGCTGGAAGCTGGTTCGTGGCACGGACCGACCTCTAGAGTCTCATCCGGACATTCTGTTTCTCAGTTTCCACTTTCTTCACAGGTCGCGGAGTCAACTAGTAGCTTCTTCCATTACCACATCTTCCAAGTACCTCTACCTGTCTGCCGAACGCAGTCCCAACCCTCAACCAATTATAGCTGAGATTGGTATCCTCCCTGGCTCTTTCATCGCGGAGTCTTGTCTCGATCGATTGGTCCGTCTACTCATCTCTGGTGGGAGGTAATTGCGTGGGGGTAACACGCACAGTAAGGCTTGTAATCACATTTAATGACTCGGGAGCCAAACCCTCTTTGTTGACAGACTACAAGTTTTATCACCTCAATCTTTGGGCTGGTCCTCAATTGTAACATCCTTTTGACATCGAGTCCTGCTGCCAACCGACTGGGGCAGTGTTTACAGATCAGACCATAGATCAATGCATCGAAGAAGACTCACAGATGTCTGCAAACTTCTGACGTGGGTTAGTGTTCGCGTTACTATAACCGGTCCAATCATTGAGTGCGCCTTCCAGCCCCATAACGCAGGAGGAATAGCGAGAGGGAGGACTCCTACCGGTTTACCCTACGCCCTTGTTTCCTCCCGCCATTTCATTGGAGCAGAATGCCGGTCAGATCATTCCTTGGGCCACCAAGTTCTCAGCTCTCTTATAAACTTCTTTGACTTCGGTGCGTTTTCTTTTTCTTCCGCTCCCAACGATTGCTCATACACTCATGCGCTTCGAGGCGTTTACCCGGAAGACTCGGTAACCTCCTGAAATTTCCCTCCCCAAAATATTGGTCTCCTAATCATGATAGACTGGTGGTTATTCTTTTTCTCAAGGGAGTGGCTCGTTCGTCCAAATTACCTTGGTGTGTCCTCGTGATAAAGACATCTCTAGGCCCATATCGCTTACCCCTCGAAAGGTGGATCTGATTTGATCTCCCACAGCCAATAGCAGCGGGAGATTCAAATTTACGATTTGGCTTCTGTGCGTGGGACTTAACGTTGGATATCTCGTTATCGTCGTCCTAATGTGTATCGGTGAGAAACACGAGCCTCTCATCTGTGCTCAGCATGAGCCCATATTGAACGATTTTGTTTTCGTCTTGACATAGCTCCTGTTAACTACTACTCAGACACAGATACTGTGTTCTCAGTCTCAAGACCTATTACTCACGTTCGATGTGCGCATGTGATCCAGCTAACATTTTGATTCGCGGAAAAGCTCATATAAGTGCCGTACCGTATGGTTACTCAGGATCAACATAATCGTCTCAACTTCTATATCCTCTCTTCATCGCCAAAATATCGAACTCGAGGATTAGGGCCGTTGCTCGGCGCACTGTGATGTAAGTTCCTCCGACTACTGTCCGCACATCATGTAACCATCACGATCCCAGAGTATCACTCGTTGCGCTCATTACATCCACTGTGAGCTCCCCATCCTATCCCCGAAAAGACGCGCGTACTCGTACCCGATGACCGACTCAACGACGGTCGCCGTCTTATTGCAGGTCAACATTGCCATTCTCACCCTCAATCACGGAGCCGAGTTGGCGTGGGTTTGCTTTGGATCTTGCGGAGTCGATGTACGTTCCACGCTCCCGCCTCCTTCTTACGGCCAAGCTGAGAACAAAAAATAATAAACTATAGGTTATCCTCAACACTTTAACGAAGTTCTACGTCACTCGCACGACCGATAGTGACGAAAGCAAACAGACCCAAACCTCAAGCTGAATCAGGCTGTACCAAAGCTGTTTCGTTCAACCTGTGGACTAAGATGAACAATTGCATTGTAAGAACTGTTGATGAGATTGGAAGACTTACCCTTCACGTTCATTCTTTTCCCAACTTTGACTTGCGGAGGGTTTGATGCACTTGTTGTTGGTTCACAAATCACTCTATAGGTCATGGTTTACGACCGGTACGAGTACAGATATAGGCGCGGATAGTATGGATAGGAAAATCATTCCGCACGGTTGATCACGAGGGATTTGGACAGACTGCACGACACATTCATAGAACTTCCTCTCCTCTCTTCATCAATAAGGTTCTTCGTTTGGATGGGACCAAGGGTTCGGTATTGAGAGTCTTGGTCAAGATGATTTGATCGTACGTAGATAGATGTTATACGAAAGTAGCGAAACGTGCACTGGGGCGCGCATGCCTTTTCAGAAGCGCCACCAATGAGTTTCGTAACCGAGGTATCGGGAATAAGAAAGGCGCCTCTGTGTACGCCGACGAGTCACCAGAAAGTTCTCAGCCTTCCGCTCGAGGACCAAGTTACCTCGCAATATATGACGCACTCACGGGAACGCCCCACATACACTTCCG